CGTTGCAAACATTGAATTTACTCAAAATATATTTTGAATTCTAGTAAGTTTAACACTTTAATCAAAAATGTTTAATTAAAACAAAAATTTAACTTGCTTACTGCAACAGAGTCGAGCCAACTTTTTTTTAGATAAAGTTTCGTGATATTCTCGTAAAAAGAGAATAAATTCTTCCTTCGAGCACATGATAATAAGCTTCGCTCGAATTTATAATGAATATATTTTAAGACTATTATCGAGAAAAAAATTTTTTTTCAAATAGTCATTACTTAAACGATTTTTTTAGCAGTAGAATAGCAGAATAACAGTGAAATAGAATAAACAGTAGAAGCAAGTAGAATATTTTTCTGTGTATGAGTACGATAAAAAATTGCACTATCAAGAACACAGCCAATTTTCCAACGCGATATTTCACGGTATACTTCAGCAAAACCATCAAACCGATATTCAATGTAATACCGTACGCAAATGCGTCCGTGCTTGCGTGCACACATCTGCGTGTGTGTGCGCGCGGCTGATATCCGCAAATTTTTGTAGGCATTTGCGGTTAACCTCCTCCTTCGCAAAGTCCATTGCGTGGAGTATCGAAAGTGCATTACCGCAACTACCGCACGTGATCGCGCGAATGCACGCATGTAAATCGAGGAGTCGTATTTTTCAAAAGCGCGTAAAGGGATAATCAGTTATTAATGCAATTAGGGCATTCGGGGCAACGCGATACTGCGAGCCGTTTGTTCGCCAAGCGGTTTCATTTAAATAATGTACGCTGAAATCGGACTTAATACCTCGCCTTTCCCTCGCGGTAAAACTACGCGCGCGTTTAATTCCCCGACGATTATCGAAATAAAAGCCGAATTTATGCTCGCGGGACGGGCAATTCGAGCGAGCATTATACCGACAACGCGCGTTCTCCGCCCGGCACTCTGTAAATACGCCCTCGTCGAATTATTGTAGCCGCTCGTTGTCGATATAATATCACAGTATTGTTACGGCGTCGCGCGCAATATCGCTTGAAAAAAGCGTAACTGTAGGTATCATGAAGAGCAAGTATTTTATAAAGTAACTGCCCGCGAGCCGAAAGCAAGCTATGCATTAAATATACACAACTGTTTGTTCATAAAGCTATTAATGTGTTTCGTGATTGTGCTAAAAGCGAAGTACTATAGTAATTTTCGGAAAGATAAAAGGCATTTGTTCGAAAGCGATTTTAATTCTCAACAAAATATGCGACACGTTAATAGATTTCGCATTCTATTCTCTGTGCAATCGATGATATTTATGCGAACCTACGATAAAGCGTTAATGCCGTCCGTGATAAACTAGTCTAACGTGACGTTCAGCCGCTATCGCCGCTACCCCGATTGACCTTAAATCACACGTTGTGAAAGTGGAAACGCCAGCGAGGGTCATCGGAGATTGATTCATCTTGATCCGTGTTGCGGTGGGAATTCCACGGCAGCAAATCAGAGTTAACGATCCGAAATTCCGCGGGAACATGCCGGGCCCCTGTGTTCACACCGCGCATTTAATGCTAAACGCTACCATATGGTTTTGAGTTCAGCAGATATAACCGGTTGCTTACGTGCACGATGCCAGCGAGGGATTAGATACAGGCAGCCCACATTCGGTGTTACACACACGCCGGGAATTCGGCTCTTGCGGTTTCAGGGTGGATCTTTGAGCATTATGCAAGCGGTATGCATGTCGACTAAATATTTAGCGAATGTTAGCAAAGTTGCTGCACGCGAAATGTCACTACACTCGAAATTTCGACCTCGTGGTATAATTTCGCGGGCTATCCGTACAATAATTATTAGAAGGGACAAACAAAGCGGATAAACAAAATCGCGGCGCATAATTTCGCTGTCAACGATTTCATAGCGCGTCTTGTGGCACGTATAAAACGCATAATATTACTAAAAATGTGCTTGATAATTATTCTCCTTGATTAAAATCAATAATACTTACATTTAATTTTTTACTCTAAGTTACTTTATAACCTATCAAGTATATGTCATCTGAATAACTTGAGATTCAGCCGATCAGATTGTTGTAGATTTCGCAAGCGAGTCATGACAGCTTGAAGCCGAGAGAGAGCGACGGCAAAATCTAGGTCTAGCACTTGTAAGAATTTATTGCCGATGACAACGGGTCATTTGGTACAATAGACTTCAGCGACCGAGATAGCGCGACAGAAAGTAGCGGCGTCCGAAGAGAGGTGTCTGCCGAGACAGAACGCAGGTGATGATTCATGAATGTATTGTCCATATATCAAAAGTAATGGAAAAATTTTGAAAAAATTAGTGATTAATATACATATATTGCATCTAAAAATGATCACAAACAACTGACTGAATCTGCTATTCCACTTGAATGGAAATATACAGTTTAGAAATATAACAGAGTTTATATAAGAAAGTAGAAAAAAATATAAAATAAATAAATAAATAACCTATAAAAATTATATCATATAAATATATATATATATATATATATATATATATATATATAT